AATGTGGCTATTCTCATGATTTGAAACCGTCTTCTGGAGCTTGACAGTCCAGGGTACTATGTCTTTATGCAGATATTACTTTTTGATATCGATGCAGAGAGCGACTGGATAGAGAAGCCTTGGTATTTGTCCAGTTTTGTTTGCATCAAGCAAGGAGGAGAGAATTTTCATTTGGTTTTGTTGACCTTAACCAGTTCATATGGTGGAAACACATATTTTAAAGAAATACTTGGCAAACCTATGGCATTGATCAAACAGACAAGGTGCTTTCACAGCTCTCATCCATGCATCATGTTACTATGACCTAAGTCACACAACTCTTATTAACTGGTGCCGCTCTCACGCTCCACACGTGCTCCCGCTTTCACGCTCCAAGCGTGCTCTTGCTCTCGCACCCACTCTGTGTGACTTAGGTTATGACCAGGTGAGAATCTTGACCTAGAATAATATGTACAGCCACTTTATGACTGCTTAGTATTTGCACTTATAATTCTTGGTTTTCATCTTTTTATGACCTTTTTCTTCTCAAAATGTTTATAAAATATGACTTGTATTATACCAGAAGAGTGGAAGCATCTTGTGTTTATTTATTTATTTTGGCAAGTCTCCTGACTGGACTCGAAGTTTTCTGTCCTCGCACATATGACCTCATTTGTTAGTCTTAAGGATATCCTCTTGTTTGGGCTCAATGTGATAGATGACATGTTCCTAAAGGCCGACTTTGTGATTTAAGTAGAAGAAAACCCAGAAGAAATAGTTTGTAGTTCCAATATAATAGTTTGAAGTAATAGTCACTCAAATACTGAGTCAGGCTGATGAAGACTTTGGTTCAATCGAGTGGATGATCTAAGAAAAATTAATCCATTATTACTTGAACGACTCATAGAAAAGAAGCAAACACATTTGAAGTGGGCTTAATGAGTTTTTCCTGGCCTGTTGGTGTCAGAGTACTTTTGATAATTGATACACTAAATTTTCTGTTTGTATTTTATTTTTTACTTTATCATCCTTAATTCATTATTGTTAGTGTTTGTTGCATTTCAACGTGTTGACTATTACTCCGTGGTTCTGAGATTTGGCATGCTTACATATTTTCTCAGTTCAATTTAATTTTCATGTCCAATATCTTGATCATATGCCCAAAGTTTGGTTGAGAAACATGTGCTAACATTAGTCTCTTTTAGGCAGAAAAGATTTTAGTAATTTTTCTTGCCATGTTGTTTCTAGTCTGTTTTGAAGAGCCACTTGATTATCTCTTATCAAGAGAAAGCAATAAAGCCGAAAAAAAGTCACTTGAAAATATTTGGTGAGCTGAAACAAGTTTTAAAGTTGTTTGCCCCTATACAGAGATGATTAATTGGAAGGTTTTTTGGAAATGGGAACATGAACTCCTGCAGTTCTTATAATAAAAACCTGATATCCTAAAATACGTAGGCTCTCAGTGTGTTAAATCAGAAAACTTGAGAAATTTGCCATACAATACTGAATGACCCTTAAGTATCTCAAAGAGGTTCCTTGGGAGCATTTGTTTCGTTTCAAGCCAATGCAGCGGCTACTAAATTGCTGTCTGAAGATGAAGGGCTTCCTGCACTCAAATTTTCATTTTCCTATTGGTTTTTTTAGTTGTAGTTATTGATACGATCTCTCTCAAATAGTAATAGATTCTTGTTTGGTCCCAATGCCCACTACACTGCTATTTTATATTAAATATGGTTAATATTCTGGTAATTTTGGATCAAATATTCATGAAAGTACAACATTATCTGCCTTGCTGGTCTAAGATTTATATAGTCAACCTATCATCCCTCTGAATTAAGAGCCAAGCTTACGGCCACTCTTTTTTTTTCAGTTTTTTGTGTCAAGTAACATTGTCACATGAGCAACTAACTTGTCTGATCCCATTTATTTTGTGTCATGATCATGTAACACTGTTAATATTTGATCCAAATGGTCCATTGGATATATCTTATAATCAGTAGGCCACGAAGGTATACTTTCCACTGGACCTCCATTGTTTGTTCTGTTATAGTGGTCTGGCTACAAGTCATCTAAGATGTACAGCAACACGAAAATATCACATTCTTAGTATTTGTGTTGGGAGGCAAAACCATGTGATTCCTCATTGCATATAAGTATTTTGTCAACCACACTGCTTTAGTCTTCACCACTCATTCAATATGAGAATGCTGGCCATAGAGCATATGCTCTAAGGCTCCTGTGTAGGTTGTTTCAAGCAGTGGTAGGGCATCATGTTTTTCAAAAAAAGGTACATTTTACTCTATCACCGAATTCTTGATGGTGAGTTGGAAGACAAAACCATGTGATCCTTCATCTGTAACACCACCACCTGAATCTCTCTTGACCAATCATTCTACATTTCAAAGGATTTCTTACATGCCCTTTTACCTATATATATATATGCACACATATTAGTCAGTCTAGAACCAACACAACTCTTTCCATTCTTCACTCTCAAAGCATTCATTTCATCATTTGTTTTGCAAACTCTTTGTGATCTTTGTCTCTTTTGTTGTTCATACAACACAATGGGTTTCCGCATGCCTCGTGTTATTAATGCTAAGCAAATTATCCGCATGCCTTATTCGGCAGCAGACCAAGTTCTCAATGTACCGAAAGGCTATTTTGCAGTTTATGTTGGAGAGAGTGAAATGAAGCGATTCGTGGTTCCCATATCATACTTGAACCAGCCTTCATTTCAGGTCTAGTTAAGTCAGGCTGAGGAAGAATTTGGTTTTGACCATCCAATGGGTGGTCTCACAATTCCCTGCAAAGAGGACATCTTCATTGATATCACTTCACAGTTGAGCAGATCAAGAGACAATTCTATGCATATAGACACAATTTTGTAAAGCAGTAGTCATCATTTCCATATACAAATTTCAACTTTGTACCTTTTGTATTTTTAGATAGGAGATTGGGGATTGAAGAAAATGTCCCCATGTTTCAAAATATTATAAAGTATAGATCATTTTGTTCTCAGTCAATTTCAAAAGCAAATACATTATTTCATTGAAATCTTTGTTTCTATAGATTTTATAATTACTTTCGGGTACAATTTTTATATTTATTTCCTAAAATAATTTTGTAATTGCATTAATCAGAAAAATCACTGAAAAAGAGGGGGAAAGCTATACTTTCAGCGCAATAGGGTGTTTAGATGTCCTCATCTCAACTAAACCTTAGCAACTTGGCTTAATTTTCACACTGTTCTAGAGAATAACAATCAAAGCTGATATATTTGTGAAGTAACTGTTTTAAAGCTCACCTCCCGAACATGTAGCACTAGTATTAGTTTTGCATAGACAATAAAATTAGACTTATGACATTTTCAATTGCTTAGAGCCAAATTTTAATGATGATTAATAATGACATGCTAACTTGATGATCTCTGTATTGTGTCCTTCTTTAGTCCTCTTAATTCACTCTTCGTCCAGATTAAGTAACCAAGGAAAAAGTGCAAAAATCATCAGTCATTTATCTTCGTTCTCTATTTGTTTCCGAAGTTCTGGGCAAGAACAAGATCAATTTGGCTAAGATCTGAAAGATGCTGGTCATTAGGTCCTACAAATTGGAATAATCCCCTGAAATGGCTACACTTCTTTCAAATCATCACAAATGAGATCAGTCCATCTATTTTTAGATGTTATCATATTTCTCAGAAGAATTTTGGACAAAGTTCAAATGGAATGGCTAGTGATGAGTAGGTCATATTAGTTTCCATGCCTCCATCTGTATATATGTACATGTTACTGGAAGAGAACCATAAAATGCTGCCAGATCTCCATTTGAGCAGAAAATTTTTGCTAGCTGAGTTTAATTGATATATTTACCAAAAAAAAAAAAAGAGTTTAATTGAAACAAAATATATTTGCTCATAGAATGCAGCAAAAAAGATGCACAGTTGATATAAAATCTATAGAAACAAAGATTTTGAAGAAATAATGTATCTGCAATCTGGAAGGCTATTTTATATAACAGAGAGGTTGTTTTGCAGCACCTTTCTTTCTCCATTGGTGATGGTCAGAGGTTTAGTTTATTTTATGATCCGTGGTTCAATGGACACACTTCACAACAAATGCTTGGTATGAGAGGACTTTTTCCTACAGGTTTTCTGTACACAGACACTATTTCTGTCCTTTCCTCTCCTACTGGTTGGAGGTTACCTGCTAGTTGGCCTTCTGAAATTGGAACTTTTCTGGTTCAACACTCTGTTTGAATCTTGAAGATGCTATTAAATGGAAACATGGTTCCTTTTCGTTCAAGGCTGTGTGGAATGTTTGTAGATAGTGATCCAGCTCCTTGGTGCAGCCTAGTTTGGAACAATAACAGGCCTAGAATTGCTGTTCAAACTACCCTTGTTTTACACAATGCTTTTCCATCCTACTTCAATCTCAGAAGGAGAGGTTTTTTTGGTCCAGCCATTTGTCATAATTGCTTCTCTGAAGCTGACTCTCCAGACCGTCTGTTTATGCTAGAAGTGTATGGAACTGGTTTATTCAGATTTGTCATTGGGATGGACTTATTAATGTGACTCACTTTTCAGAAGTATTGTTATGGTTTCAGAGTCAGACAAAGGGTCAGTCTTTGAAATCCAAATTAGTGAAGTGTTAGTTCACAGCAATTTTGTGGAGCATTTGGAATGAGAGAAATAGAAGAGTTCATAGTGGTACTGTATCATTTGGCTATGGATGCAAGCTTTGAAGGATTGACTGCTATGGGATTGTCCATTACTGATCTCCAAGTCCTATTCTGAAGTCCCTATGTTTTTTTGCTCTTTTGTTCTTCTTGTAGTGTCTTCCCTGGTATTGTGCCATGTATGCTATATGCTGTGTGGGAGTCTTGTTAGTTTATCCTTTCTTTTGTAAGGTTTGTGTTCTGCCCTGGTTTTGTTTTCTTTTTTCTCTTTTGATTCTTGATTGGATCATTTCTCACATGTACTTAAATGTTTCATTTTTTACTGAATAATATACACTCATTCAGGGAAAAAAAAAATGTATTTGCTTTGAAATTGTCAGAGAACAGCATGACCTATACTTTATAATTTTTGAAACAAGGGACCAGTTTTTTTTTTTTCATCCCCAGTATCCTCTCTGAAAAACAAAGGTACAAAATTGAAATTTGTACATGGAAGTGATGACTACTGCTTTACAAAATTGTGTCTACATGCCTAGAATCTTCTCATGATCTGCTCAATTGAGAAGCTATATCAATGAAGATGTCCTCTCTGCAGGGAATTGTGAGACCACCCATTGGATGGTCAAAACCAAATTCTTCCTCAGCTTGACGTAGTAAATCCTGGAATGAAGGCTGGTTCAAGTATGATATTGGAACCACAAATCGCTTCTTTTCACTCTCCCCAACATAAACTGCAAAATAGCCTTTTGGTACATTTAGAGCTGTTGAAGCTGCTTGGTCTGCTGCCGAATAAGGCATGCGGAGAATTTGCTTAGCATTGACAATACGAGGCGTGCGGAAACCCATTCTCTCTCTGACAAACTAGAAAAGAAACAAAGATCAGGAGGAGTATGCAGAACAAATGAAAGTTTTGAGAGTGAAGAATGATAAGACTTGCGCTGGTTGTAGACTGACTGATATGTGCGTGTATATATATATAGATAAAAGGGTATGCAAGAAATCTTCTGAAATGTAGAATGAGTGGTCAAGAAAGGTTTAGGTGGAGGGTGAAAGATGATCACATGGTTTTGTCTTCCAACTCATCATCAAGAATTCATAGAGATAAGAGTAAAATGTATTTTTTGCCGAAAAACATCACGCCCTACCACTGCTTGCAACAACCTACAAAGGACCCGCAGAGCAGATGCTCCATGGCCAGCATTCTCAATATCAAACGAGTGGTGAAGAGGAAGAAGAAGCACAGTCGGGCATTGAGACCAAACAAGATTCTATTATTAATTGAAAGATATCATGTCTATAATTACTATTAAGAATATCAACAGGAAGATGAATATTTTGAGCCCAGGAACCCCAAGTCTTCAGTCAAAGCAATTATGTAGTAGCTGCATTGTGGCTTGAAATAAAACAAATGCTTCCAAGAAACCTCGTTGACGTACTTGTGGGAAATTGAACTGTAAATGAACACAGGAACGTATGAATCCAACGTAATGCTATAGATATAGTGATGGAAACTAATATGACCTACTCATCAGTAGCCATTCCATCTGAACTTGATCCAAAATTCTTGTGAGAATGTGGTGAAAGCTAAAAATAGACGGACCGATCTCAATTGTGATGATTTGGAAGAAGTTCAACCATTTCAGGGGGTTCTTGTTGATACTCCAAATTTGTAAGACCTAATTACCATTTTCAGAAACAAAAAGAGCATGGTGCATTAAGAGGACTAAGGAGGGACAATATAAAGAGATCATTAAGTTAGCACGTCATTGTTAATCATCATTAAACTATGGTTTTGGCAATTATAAATGAAATAGTCTAATTATGCATTTACAAAATTAATATTAGTGCTACATGCTAAGAAGGTGAGCTTGAAACCATTATTGACAAATATATCAGTTTAACTGTATTGCTGTATTGCGCACGCCCCTGCTGCTGGGGACCTGCAGAGGTTCCTAAATAGATTCAAATACGTTGACTAAATTGCTCTCTGAAGATTTAGGGCCTCCTGCACTCAAATTTTCATCTTACTATAGGTTTTTTTATTTTTATTTTTTTTATTTGTAGTTATAGATACGATCCCTCTCAAATAGTACTAGATTCTTGTTTGGTTTCAATGCCCCATTACACTGCTATTTTACATAAAAAATGGCTTATATTCTGGTAATTTTGGATCAAATATTCATGAAAGTACAACATTTTCTGGCTGGCTGGTCTAGGGATTATGTAGTCAACCTATCATCCCTCTGAATTAACATTGTTACATGAGCAACTAACTTGTCTGATCCCATATATTTTGTGTCACGACGCATGTAATGCTGCTAATATTTGATCCAAATGGTCCATTGGATATATCTTACAATCAGTAGGCCACAAAGATATACTTTCCACTGGACCTCCATTGTTTGTTCTGTTATAGTGGTCTGGCTAACAAGTTATCTGAGACGTACTACAGCACGCAAAATATCACATTCTTAGTATTTGGTTGGGAGGCATAACCATGTGATTCCTCATTGCATATAAGTATTTTGTGGACCACACTGTTTTAGTCTTCACCACTCATTCAATATGAGAATTCTGGCCATAGAGCATCTGATCTAAGGGTCCTGCGTAGGTTGTTGCAAGCAGTGGTAGGGTATCATGTTTTTTTTTTTTTAATTTAAAAAAGTACATTTTACTCTATCACGGAATTCTTGATGATGAGTTGGAAGACAAAACCATGTGATCCTTCATCTGTAACACCACCACCTAAATCTCTCTTGACCACTCATTCTACATTTCAAAGGATTTCTTACATGGCCTTTTACCTATATATACACACACACACATATTAGTCAGTCTACAACCAACACAACTCTTTTCATTCTTCACTCTCAAAGCATTCATTTGTTTTGCAAACTCTTTGTGATCTTTGTCTCTTTTGTTGTTCATACAACACAATGGGTTTCCGCATGCCTCGTATTATTAATGCTAAGCAAATTCTCCGCATGACTAATTCGGCAGCAGACCAAGCAGCTTCAACAACTCTAAATGTCCCGAAAGGCTATTTTGCAGTTTATGTTGGAAAGAGTGAAATGAAGCGATTCGTGGTTCCTATATCATACTTGAACCAGCCTTCATTTCAGGACTTGTTAAGTCAAGCTGAGGAAGAATTTGGTTTTGACCATCCAATGGGTGGTCTCACAATTCCCTGCAAAGAGGACCTCTTCATTGATATCACTTCTCAGTTGAGCAGATCATGAGACATTTCTATGCATATAGACACAATTTTGTAAATCAGTAGTCCATTTCCATATACAAATTTCAGCTTTGTATCTTTTTTTTTTTTCAGATAGGAGATTGGGGATGGAAGAAAATGTCCCCCTGTTTCAAAATGTTATAAAGCAGAGATCATGCTGTTTTCAGATTATTTGAAAAGCAAATACATCATTTCATTGAAATCTTTGTTTCTATAGATTTTATGACGACTTTCGGATGCTGTTTATTTTATTTGTTTCTCTCTTCTTCTTTATTTATTTATTTATTTTTTTGTCGTTGCCTAATATAATTTTGAGGGGGGAAAGTTATAATTTCAGTGCAATAGGGTATTGAGATGTCCTCATCTCAACTTAACCTTAGCTTAATTTGCACACTGGTCTAGAGAAAAACAGTCAAAACTGATATATCTGTGAAGAAACTGTTTTAAAGCTCACCTCCTGAACTTGTAATACCAATATTAATTAGTTTTGCATAGACAATAAAATTAAACTATTGAAATTTTCAATTGACAAAAGCCAAATTTTAATGACGATTAACAAGGACATGCTAATTTGATGATCTCAGTATTGTTTCCTTCTTTAGTCCTCTTAATTCACCCTTCTTCCTTCAGACTAATTAACTAAGGGAAAAGTGCAAAAATCATAACTCATTTATCTTCCTGATCTTTTTGTTTCTGAAAAGCTCTGGGCAAGAATTAGGTTAATTTGGCTAAGATCTGAAAGATGCTGGTCATTAGTGTTGACCTTAAGGACTCCATCCAAGGACAATCTAGAGGTTTTGATGATAACAAACCGTTAATGATGTTTAAGGACTAATGTTTACATTGAGTGTTATATAGATTATTCACATTTAAAGAATGACCTCAATGAAGTTATAAAAATCATTCCAAGTATTCCATTATTTAAGATCACATCAAGGAAAACAATGGAAACAAAGAATACATGAAATTGCAAAGAACCAAATACAAAGTCCATCCAAAGATAACTTGGACTACAACGAGCAAGAAAACAACTCAAAAGAAGGAAGAAAGCAAGACTACCTCAAAGCCTAAAGATCATGGACAAAGCTTGAAGAAAAGAGTAGATAGGATGGGGAGTGTTTAGGATTCAATGTCAAAGTATTTATGAATCCATTTGAAGCTCATCTATATAGGACTATGCATATCATATCATCATTCATATGTTCCTATATATATTAGCAATAGACTATGCACTTCATTCACATATGATTGCACATGAAGTCATTGCTAAAGAATGAGTTAGTTCAAGCTTGCATAAGCTTTGAAAGAATTCATTACTTGTGCTAGAAATGTTAAGACCATGCACATCAATCATATAATTCATATTGGTCAACAATTAAGACATGAGAAGCCTTCATTATCATGAGTTGGTAGCGGACTTTAGGACACCAGAATGCGCATCATGAAAAACTGTGTTTTTGGCTAGGTGTGAAAAATGAATTTTTGAAATAATGATTATTTCAAAATAATTTTTCCCGGTAATAACTCTTTATACTTCAAATAGCGTAAACAGATTTTATCAGAATTTTTGATCAATTCTACATTGGTCTACACGAGGATTCATTTTTATCAAAACTGTCGGAAATCCAAATTTGTACTAAAACTGAATTTCTACATTTTGATTTTGTTGGATTTCAATTTTCTAGTATTTTTTATTGAATCTAAATGGGGGGTACTTCCTTATTTACATTGTAAACTTAAAGTAAATGGACATATAAATACTTTAAAGACACTTACTTAAATGAAAAACTGTCTCATCTGTTAAACTTAGAACAAAATTTCTTAAGCTGCATTTTCGTTTCGGCAGACCGAAATGCATAGGCAAATCATTCCAAAAGACCGGTTTCGACAGTGGCTATGCAACAAGGACTCAAGCTATTTCGGTCGACCGAAACAAAAGCATAACCCATTTCGTCCTACCGAAATAAAATGGTCCAAAGGCATCCTGTCATCTCGGACGACTGAAACTGTGATGTTTCCATTTTTCACAATTTTTTCATTTTTTGGAATTTTTGTCGTTACGAGGGCATTTTCGTCTTTTGCCATTTTGCGTACCGGATACTGTGGAGTGTGCCTGTTGTGTCTAAGAATTGATTGGGGCATTTCATTGAGTTCATGATTCTTTGAAATGCAAAGTTGTCATTTTTGCATTTTTTTCAGTTTTCGGGCCGGACAGTCCCGTGTGGGACCCGCTGTCGGAATTGTGGAGTACGAGGATTTTAGTTGAATTCATTTGCATCGCATTTATTTTATTTAATATGTTATTTGTGGTTGAGAATTATTATGTATGGGTATATGTATAATTGTTGTTAAAATAAAAAGAGAAAATAAATTAATTTTAGCGGAGTCCACCATTAGTATCTTTTAAAGGCCAAAATGCCATTTACCTCACAATTCTCTTCCTCTCCCGTAAGCTTTTCTCTCTCCCATTCTACACTTTCTTTTTTTCTTCTTTTGGTTTCAAAACTTCAATCCTAGATTCCTCCTTCATTATTTGGAATTTTTGGAAGCCGTTTGCAGCACTTCGAAGAGCACGGCGAGATCTTCACATCCATATAAGCAATTTCAGTTTTAGTGCACTCTGGGATTCCGGTTTTGAGACCCATTTTGGGGGTTTTTCATCCTCCTTGATGTAGGGGTCTCTAATTCATGTTTTCTTGTATCTATGTGAGTTATTTTCTTGATAATTGTTGTTAGCATGTTTAATTGGTGTTGATTATCCCTAAATGATTTAATTCTGGTGTACAAGGTTCTTGATTTTATGTATTAGTTGATTTGTATGAAAAGCATGCATAAGTGTTGATTTTCTATATTTATTGTGTTGATAAATTGTTAGAAATGATACATGGAAGCATGTGTAATTTTCTTAGAATTATTGTAAAGCATGCTTAATTGTATTGTATGAAAATCCCTTATTATCATAGCATTGAAAGTATTAAACATGTATGTATTTCATTGGGTATTAGTGAAGGGAAATTATTTGGAAAAAAAAGGGAATTTTTGGGAAGAAATATTGATTAAATGGTTGTGAGAAAACCCGATCGCTACGGAGTCACCAAAGGGCCGGTGTGTTAATGTAACCTAGAGGGAGTTAGGGAAAACACCCTGGCGTGGTTGAGCTATCTAGGCCCCAAATGACACAGCGGGGGTACCAAGGGTCAGGGACAGTAGCCAATCTTTCTCTTGTGTCGCTACGGAGTCACCAACGGACAGGTTATATTAACAGTTTGAAAAGTGATGGATTTGGATTTTGAAAGTGGGGAGCGACATACATGGCATTACATATCATGGCACGACATTGTTTATTTGAAAATTGGAATTAATGTTGTATCCTTTCCCGGCATAATATGACCCCCACCTTTATTCCTATTCATTGTTTGGATTTACGGGGTCACAAGAGGTGTGTCTTAGGTACCACCTACTGATCAATTTTGCTCACCCCTTATTATTAATATTTTTCAGGATACGGAAAGGAGGTGGCGAACGACCATCCACCACAAGTTTAGACGGGATTGGAAATTTATATTTTGCTATTTTCGTTTTACAACTTTAATAATTTGTAAATGTAAATTTTGACTATTCTGTAAAACTTTAGTATAATTTGTATAATGTTGTAAATTATGGATTTTTGATTTCAGCTGTATTTCATGGACTGTAAATTGATGTAATTAGATTATGTCTCTTATAAAGGAGTATGGGACTAAGTAGTGGACTGGTACTTTTATTATTATTATTTTTTATTGAAGGAATTGGAGGGAAGAGACTCTGATTATATGTATATAGTTATTTTGGGAATTGGTATATTGTTTGCATTGTGCGTTGGGATATGATAGATTAGTTTATGCCAAGTGAAGCCATTACAATTTTTTTATGCATTTCAACAGGTTGTGGTAGGACCCTTTTTAGTAGAGGCCATGCCAATTTTTTTTATAGAATTGGTATCATTTTAGGGTCGTGACAAATTTGGTATCAAAGTAATGGTTCGAATACTATTAGAATGACGAGTAAAGGCCTACTTGAGATTGCATGGGGAAGTTGAATTGCATGATTATGTGCTACGTGTTAAAGTGTTTAAATGTTTGAGAAGCATGTCTACTTGTTTACTTGCTTACCTGTTTATTTGTTTACGTGATCACATGCTTATATGTTTATAGTTTTGACGGCATACCTAATTGCTAAATGCTTACGTGTTTAAATGCTAAAATTTGTGTTACATAGCCATGTATGAGGAATAGTTAGATGATCTAACCATGTAAATGAAATGTGAAAGAAAAGAAAAGCATGTTGACTGTGTATGAGGAGTATGGTGACGAGAAGTGGTAGGCACGGTGTATGCAGTTCTAATTTAAATGCTAATGTGGCAAGTAGTGAGCATGGTATATGCCAACGTGTTTCGTGTAGTATTATGGGTTTTATTCATTTTGTATACGAATATGGCTTTATTCTTATGTGGTTATACGGTTAATCATTAGGATGGTTGCTAGTACGGTGGGGTACTTGTCACGGCATTAAGGGTCGTGTAAGTTTTGACTTGAGTAGGCGAGGAGCTCGGTTGCTCCAGGGTTGTTTGGGTGCCGATTTTTGTTGAACTAATGGCGTGGACTCTTAGCTCGTGGATTGAGCTATTTGGCATATAGTCATCCTGATCTTCTTACTTGCATTTTGTGCGGTGCTTAGAGCACGACTTTAGAATAGGTTTATATTTCATGGCAAGGTGCCCTTGTTGTGTGTGAGTTTCATGTATTGGTGTATGGTTCTGGTGACTGTAGAGGTCAGGTGTATGAGTGAGGGTTTCAGTATGACTTTAGGAGGTCGGTGTTTGCGACTCAAGTCACGGTTTGGTGTGGAGGTTTTTTTCGAACCGGTCGTGGTAGGTGTGACGAAGGTTGTTTGAGTCACAAATGTAGTCCATGGATTGTAAATGTATATTTCGAGCATTTTGGAACGGCTTAAGGAAGTGTGTTAGTTTTGATTGTCATGGGAACTTGTTGGATCCTATAGGTCTATGGTGATTTAGGACCGATTGTCGGATGTAGATCATTTCATGGTCTTAAAGGAATCTATTTTATGGGCTGGTTTATCGAGGAGTGATTCTCATTTAGGATAGTTACAGGAGCGTGTTACGGGTAATCGACTCTCGGTGAGTCGGTTGCACGGCTCAGTCGATGAGTGAGG